AAGGCCTTGAATGTCCTTGAATTTGTAAAGAAGTACTTGAAAGTCTTTTTCTTGCTTTAGTTTTTGGATATTTTCTGAAATTGTTTGACATCCAAAACGGACATTTTGTTGAATTGATTTTGCATGTTCATATCTGACAAAGCTGTTTGAAACTCATCAAAGTTACGTTTTGTCTTTTGAACAATTCAACGTCAGATTTTACTGATCTGGCTAACCCCTTCTCTTCAGTATTTAGTCCTTGAATTTGCTGATATATACATGGCCTTGAATGTCCTCGAAAAGTCATTGAATTTCACTCTTCCTCACATGTACGAACTCTGTGATTAACCTTGCCGCTGTTTCACTGCAATCTGCATCTGGTTTTAATTAGCAGATAGATCAGTTTTGGTCTGCAGACGGGTTTCAGATTGTGCTCTGCAGATGCAGTTAACTGAATGAGAAAATGTTAACTCTTCGTTTTATGCAGTAGTCTTGTATTTAGAGGCAAATAAATAGAAAGATGTAAATGAATCTTTTTGCAAATTCATCACCATCCAACTTTTGGTGCATGTGATGAGATTTAGTTCAAGTTTGACTCTACCAAACTCTGCAGGTTTTCTCTGGTATATTCGCCTATTAACACACTAACGAATAAAAAGATGGCCCTTAAGCCGGTTTTCCACCAGCGAATTTTCTCGCACGAAGCGACCTTTTTCCTAAAATTGTCGGTATCACTTATTATGTCAGCAAGACGTGGCAAAATGGATGCCGACAAAGGAAAAAGGTCGCTTCGTGCGAAAAAATTCGCTAGTGGAAAACCGGCTTTAAGGTTGTTTACACTATCAAAGTTTCTGTGATCACAGTAGGTATTTTGCATAGATTTGTAAGAAATCTTTGAGGGAACATATTTCTTACAAATCCTTCAAAACTTAGAATTTACCGATGCAAAATTCCTACTGTGATCACAGAAACCAGGCTTTATTTTAGGACGACAAAACTGGCATACCTATCCAGCGTAAATGAAGTTAGCTTAGTTGATGAGATAACACGGTTGTTTTTAAAAGATATAAAACGTAATTAAAGGCAACATTTTCTTTGTCTTTTTAGATGCCAGTATTAACAAGGTTTACTAAAGCATGTTGTGTTGTAATTGCTGTTCTTCAATACTCCGCGTCTGCTTTCGATACTTGCAATACGGATTCATTGAATATGGCCCAAGACCTTCATCATCAACGCAGATTGAGGTCACGTGTTATTGAGAGCCAGCCAATCAGCAAGCCGATCGAGTGTCACTTGAAATGTATGAAGAACTGTCGTTGTGTTTCCTACAACGTTTGTAATGGCGGGAAATTGTGTGAACTGAATTCAGAGAAAAAAAGCAACAATATTTCTCTTTATGAAAAGAGTGATGAATGTGATTACCATGAGTTTTCGTTTAACAGACAGGTGAGTGTGGTCACAGATTAAGTATGAACAGATGTGTAACTTCAGTGAAAAGGTTGTCCCATTGTCGCCATCTTTCTAGCAAGTGTGCTCGCGTGATAATTCGTCATTTGGGTTAATGTTACCCCGCCATCTTCCCAGCTTAGGGAAATTTGAGGATACAAAGTCCTATGAAGTTGCACATCTGGTGTATACCTAATCTGTGGTGTGGTTGAGACTCCTTCCCTCTATACAAAATTTGCATACCCCATAGAAATTAGGATATGTGATCAGATGATATAGTTAAATTGTGTTGGAAAGTTGATTTTCCTGTTTATTCCAGCAATCCAGTGGTTGCCGTGACGACTGTTGCTCCACATCTCAAGCTTGTCTTCATGGTGCGCGCTGTCAAGCAACATGTATGGAAAACGGGAGGAGGTTTCAGTGTATCTGCGCTGAAGGGCAAAGCGGAGATCGATGTGAGAATTTGGCTAGAAATTGTGCGTTTTATGCAAATTCCTCAAACAGGACTCACGGTCTGCGCGTCATCTACGCACCAGACAATACACCATACCGAGCTTTCTGTCATCTTGGCGATTCTTCCTCCTCATACCATTTCACCCTTGCCTTTTCATACTCGGTGGAAAACCAACATCTTTTTAAAAATCAACCGTTGACAAACGACCATCCCGTCTTCCAGGACGCGCATAACTGGGAGAAATACCGCCTAGGTAAATAATCTAAAACTATCAAAAAATATCCACCATGGCCCGGCTGTGCGAAGATGAGATAGTAATTTTTCAACCGTTTTTTGCTTCAAATGCGCATTTGATCATATACTATGACACGTTAATTTGCGCAATATAAATATTAAATATTAGGAACCCGGTATACACTTCTAGTGCTATTTTCGTCTTCTGATGCATGGAAACGAGTAGATGCGTTATGATATCTGAACCATGGAGTTCAATGATAGATCTTCATCTGAACTTCGTAACTCCTCCAGTCGTTTACATCCATGAGAAGAAGAAAATAGTAAATGGGCCTTAGAAAGCTGTCGGAAACCACGGATGTGGATTTCACAATTAATAAAAAGAAACTTTTATATACAGTGTGTATAAAAAAAGGTAATCGAACTTCAGCGCGCTATTGTACGTGAATTACTCGGCGTATGAACGAAATTGTTTCATGTTCGGAAAGATCAGCTATTTAAGGACGTGTTTTTCATGCCAAGTGGAGAAAAAATAAGCAAATACGAGTCCGATTAAAAATGTTAGTCAGAATCGCATATTTTCACCTCTGTGCCTAAATGTGGAAACATGATGAATAATATCGAATGAAGTTGAGACAAAGGATTTGTGGATGGTGAGATACAGTCAGCAAAGCCAAAGGTCTTCTATATAGCCTTCTATATTTCGTAGCTTTGAAGTTTGCCAAGCTTCCATATCATCATATCTTCATATATTATATGGCGCTAATGAAGTCATCTCTATATTTGAGAGATGAGAACCTTCAAAAATTGGATGAATTTTTACCTAATAAATCCTCTTCGGTCTATGATACGAGGGGAAATTGTAAATATAATAATTATTATTGTAAAACAGAACGTTTTAGAAAATCCTTCTTACCACAAATTATTTCGAAATTAAATTGTAAATAGTAGTTTACTCCTTTATATTTAATTATTTGTAGTATAGCTGATGTAATTTAACCTTCGGTTACAAAATCAGTAAATAATAATAATAATAATAATGTATATTGAAGTTGAAATTTATAATGCAGGACCCCACTGAAAAACACTTCGGTGACGTGGGTATCCTGGATAAATATAAAATATAATAATAATAATAATAATATTTATCTTAGGGTTGGCACGAATGAAGGGTTTGCGTGATGGCGCAGCGAAATGGAGTTTGACTTGTTCATACGACCAACAAGGCTACAAAACAAGAGATGTATTGACCGTGTTTATAAACAAGTTGGATCCACTGGGCTCTAACAATGGACGCAAATGCCCCCAGGTTCAAAGAATTGGCGTTAATGGCCAATCATGCGGTAACTGTATTGTAGGTATGACCACTGGTTTTTGAGTACTATTTAAAACACAAGCAAGAGTGTTAGGTTATAAAACACGAGGCGACGACCGAGTATCTTATATACTATTTAAAAAATGAGCAGGAGTGTTTTATTAGGTTTAAAGCCACGAGCGCGCAGCGCGAGTGGCTTTAGACCTAATAAAACACGACCTGCGAGTTTTTAAATGGCTTCAAAAACGTTTGCATAATAAGTCAAATCTTTATATAAAAATCTTTATATAAAAATCTTTATATAGTTTGCATAACAATGGTCTTTTGTTAAAGTGTTCTTTAGCTGGTATAAAGACGTATGCACGTGACTAATTTCTTACTCAAGATTGGATAATTGCTTCATGAATTATTAATGAGTTTTTGAAGTACTGTTTAATAAACGAGCAGGAGTGTTTTATTAGGTTTACTACAAATTCAATAGAAATACTGCTCTACTAGTATTCTTTATATAAAGAATACTAATGAGGACACGACTACAATAGATACTGCCTCAGTATTGCTATTCTTTATATAAAGAATACTAATTAGGAGTGTTTTATCAGATTTAAAGCCACTGCACGTGACACATTATGGTTGACATGACATCTTGGATAAAGAACGGACTGCCCGCGGAGTGTTTTAAAAAACTCTTAAAAAATTAATAATTCATGAGGAAATCACTGTCGTGTCGCTGGTTTTATATGCGACAAAAATCATGTTAATTTTCATAAATTTTTAGCTTTAATTTTCTCGGCTTAGCCAACGTTGATTTTTACAATTACTTCGCTAATGAACTCATAATCTCATATGCTATCAACCGAAGGCTGAGATAAACATAGTCAATGGCCATGATTGTGTCTGTTATTATCGTCAATTATCATTATTATGTGATTGTTTTAAAGCAGTGTTAAGTCTGGTTCACACTATCAAAGTTTCTGTGATCACAGTAGGAATTTTGCATCGGTAAATTTTAAAGGATTTGTAAGAAATGTTTTTTGAGGGAACTAACTTTATGTTAAACGCTGAGTCAGTGTCCTCAAACATTTCTAACAAATCCTTCAAAACTTTGCTTATACAAAATTCCTTTACTGTGTTTACAGAAACTTTGATAATGTAAACTAGTTAAGGGTTTATACAGATGTATCTTTTTCTACGCTGTAGGTATCGTCCAAGGTGGGAATGCTTGGCATATGATGTATCATCATGCAGATATGTGTCCTTCAGCGGTCCAGGTTTTGCCTAACCTATCTTGTTCTAGTGGGTTGTTTTCATATTTTGGCAATTATAATACCAACTGCTTGGACAAGAATTTTTCATGCACCAGCTCAATGAAGGCTACCACTCAACTATGGTTTTTTCATAAAGCATAGAATTGCCAGATAGTTAGTTTCCATTATACTTGCATGGAGAAGATTGTATATCTCACAGGGGTCGGTTGTATTACACACGTAAAATCTCACAACTTGTCAACAAGATGTGTTCGCAATAGGCTTGCAACAAGCTTGTCAACACGTTGTAACAATGCTGTTATTTTATTAAGTTGCTACAAGGTTGTCACTTACAACTTGTTGACAAATGTTGAATTGCAGGACAATAAGAAGTTGTTGCAACAACGTGTAACAGGTCTGTTGAGCTCAACAACCTTGTAGTAAGTTATCAACATGCCGTTGACAACTTGTCACCAAGCTGGGAACAAGCAGTGCGAACACATCCTGTTGACAAGTTGTTGGAACAGCATTGCTACAAGTCTGCTGCAGGTTTGTTACAACTTGTGCGTTTTTACGTGGTATATATCGTGATAGTATTTTATTAAATACATATTCATGATCACTTATTTATGTAATAATCATGCACATGCACAGCACTTTGAAGGATTCACATAATTCGATCTATGAACAAAATAAATAACTGCACCCATGACTGTCTATTGTATTATACCGATATATGTAATTCTTGCTTTGACGTCCGCCTACTTAGTCATACATTACAGGGAACCCGTCCAAAAAGCTCGTCAAACGATTAACCAATCAAAATACAGTAGCTCAGTAGGATATTGCGTCTTTTAAATGATTAGAAAACATTCTCATGCTTTTCTGCTTGTCACGAGAAATATTTCGTTTCGTTGTAACAATCTGGGATGCTTTGTAGCAGGGGAGGACGTGTTTCTTGTGATTCAACAACGCAACTTTGGTTCACTGTACCGAAAGCTTAACCGCGAAAAGTGGTTCACACTCAGTTTCAGTGACCAAATTACTACTGAATTAAAATACCCTAAACTAGCACACAAGCACACAAACCGACATGCAAGCCCAGGCATGCAACAATATTAACATCAACTGCAATAACAACAACAACAACAACAACAACAACAACAACAACAACAATAATTCAACGCAACTAAACAGCAACTTGAAGATACATGTACACGTAGCGCTTAATATCACTCCAGTAGTGACTAGTGAGTATATATCATATTGAGCTCACTGACTGGAAGGCGGGAACGAGTTTCAAACTTTCAAAGACCTTCAAAGGCGAAATGGTAAAAAAAAAGTCCAAGTCTTCGATAAATTTTCGCTTTTTTTGCACTCACTTCAAGGGGATTTAAAGCTTGTACATTGCTTTTATGTAAGTAAACATTTTAAGGATTTTTGTATTTAATTAGCGATATTTTGTGGGGGAAAATTTGTCCCAAATTCAAATGAAATTAATTCGGACCGCATATTAATACGATCTTTCTTTATCGTTTTAAAATGCTTGTTGTTTATTTGTATACGTTTATGTTAGGGTATAGCATAGAGTGAATAAAACTTATTCAACTGTTGTAGTTAACTAGAAATAAACGGGTTCAAAGAACTTCTTAGGGTGCTTGTAAATTCCTGTTTTTAAATTGCCACACTGCGAAGGTTAAACGTTGCAATTTTTACCATCATAACTATCAACATGATCATTATCACCATCATCACCATTATAATCACCTGTCACTATCATTGCTATTACCACAACCATCACTGCCAATATTGTCACCACTACCAACATCACCAGTGCCATCTATATCATCACCACTGCCATGAACATCATCGACACGATCGTCATTGCTACCATCACTACCAGCATCACCACCACATCATCAACACCATCATCATAGCCATCATCACTTCATCACCACCACCAGGGGCGTAGGAACCGGGGGGGCTAGGGGGGCCAAGGCCCCCCCAAGTTTTGGCAAGTGCCCTTTTTCTGGAAGCAAAGTGCCCTTTTTGTGCGTGAAAATTTTTCATTAAAATTGTATTTTTAGCCCAAGGTGCACTTTTGAAAACTTCAATGTACGTTATTTCCTGAAAAATTTTAAAAATTGCGGAAAAAAATCATATCCGGAAATTTTTTTTTGTATTTGGGAAAAATTTTTTTAGTATTTACGAAAAAAATTTTGTTTATCCTGAAAAAAATTTTGGGATGTGTCGGGAAAAATTTTTTGGACCCCTAAAATGGTACACTGGCCGAAATTTTTTGGGCGACCGGGGGGGGGGTGGGGTGGAGGTCGCGAAGAAAAAATTTGGAAATGCCCTTTTTTTTCGAAAAGTGCCCCTCAAAGCCTGCCCCCCCCCCCAACTTTTCGAAGGTTCCTATGGCCCTGACCACCACATCAACACCATCATCATAGCCACCATCACTACCAGCATCACCACCACTTCATCAACACCATCATCATCACTACCAGCATCACCACCACCACATCAACACCATCATCATCAACACCATCATCATCAACACCATCACTACCAGCATCACCACCACATCAACACCATCATCGCCACTACCAGCATCACCACCACATCAACACCATCATCATTGCCACCACCACTACCAGCATCACTACCATTATCACCACCATCATCATTGCCGCCACATCATCACCACCACATCATCAACACCATCATCATCAACACCATCATCACCACCATCATCACCACCATCACTACCAGTATCACCACCACTTCATCAACACCATCATCATCACTACC